TACTGAAATAAGAATCCCTGAAAATTTCAGCTTTCTATCTTTAATAGAGAAAAAGTTATGACCTGTCAAAATTTTCCAAAATCTAAATCATAAGGTAGGTACCTTCCTACTAAAACAATGAAATTTCAAATTTTTTTGTGTGGAGATTTTGTGTCCTAATGGTCACTTGTGATCCCTCGATTTCCATACACTAAGTTATTCCCAGATTTGAAGCCGAAATCTATGAAAAAATGCACTCAGAAAAATTGAAAAATTGATAAATTACCCCAAATTGCTTAACACGATTTTATCTCAGAAACTATAAGTGCAAATCAGTTGAAATTTTCAGGGATATTAGTCCTCTACTGGAATAAGAATCGCTGAAAATTTCAGCTTTCTATCTATAATAGAAAAAAAGTTATCACCTGTCAAAGTTTTCCAAAATCTAAATCATAAGGTAGGTACCTTCCTACTAAAACAATGAAATTTCAAATTTTTTTGTGTGGAGATTTTGTGTCCTTATGGTCACTTGTGATCCCTCGATCTCCATACACTAAGTTATTCCCAGATTTGAAGCCGAAATCTATGAAAAAAGGCACTCAGAAAAATTGAAAAATTGATAAATTACCCCAAATTGCTTAACATGATTTTATCTCAGAAACTATAAGTGCAAATCAGTTGAAATTTTCAGGGATATTAGTTCTCTACTGAAATAAGAATCCCTGAAAATTTCAGCTTTCTATCTTTAATAGAGAAAAAGTTATGACCTGTCAAAATTTTCCAAAATCTAAATCATAAGGTAGGTACCTTCCTACTAAAACAATGAAATTTCAAATTTTTTTGTGTGGAGATTTTGTGTCCTTATGGTCACTTGTGATCCCTCGATCTCCATACACTAAGTTATTCCCAGATTTGAAGCCGAAATCTATGAAAAAAGGCACTCAGAAAAATTGAAAAATTGATAAATTACCCCAAATTGCTTAACACGATTTTATCTCAGAAACTATAAGTGCAAATCAGTTGAAATTTTCAGGGATATTAGTCCTCTACTTGAATAAGAATCGCTGAAAATTTCAGCTTTCTATCCTTGATAGAAAAAAAGTTATGACCTGTCAAGATTTTCCAAAATCTAAATCATAAGGTAGGTACCTTCCTACTAAAACAATGAAATTTCAAATTTTTTTGTGTGGAGATTTTGTGTCCTAATGGTCACTTGTGATCCCTCGATTTCCATACACTAAGTTATTCCCAGATTTGAAGCCGAAATCTATGAAAAAATGCACTCAGAAAAATTGAAAAATTGATAAATTACCCCAAATTGCTTAACACGATTTTATCTCAGAAACTATAAGTGCAAATCAGTTGAAATTTTCAGGGATATTAGTCCTCTACTGGAATAAGAATCGCTGAAAATTTCAGCTTTCTATCTATAATAGAAAAAAAGTTATCACCTGTCAAAGTTTTCCAAAATCTAAATCATAAGGTAGGTACCTTCCTACTAAAACAATGAAATTTCAAATTTTTTTGTGTGGAGATTTTGTGTCCTTATGGTCACTTGTGATCCCTCGATCTCCATACACTAAGTTATTCCCAGATTTGAAGCCGAAATCTATGAAAAAAGGCACTCAGAAAAATTGAAAAATTGATAAATTACCCCAAATTGCTTAACATGATTTTATCTCAGAAACTATAAGTGCAAATCAGTTGAAATTTTCAGGGATATTAGTTCTCTACTGAAATAAGAATCCCTGAAAATTTCAGCTTTCTATCTTTAATAGAGAAAAAGTTATGACCTGTCAAAATTTTCCAAAATCTAAATCATAAGGTAGGTACCTTCCTACTAAAACAATGAAATTTCAAATTTTTTTGTGTGGAGATTTTGTGTCCTTATGGTCACTTGTGATCCCTCGATCTCCATACACTAAGTTATTCCCAGATTTGAAGCCGAAATCTATGAAAAAAGGCACTCAGAAAAATTGAAAAATTGATAAATTACCCCAAATTGCTTAACACGATTTTATCTCAGAAACTATAAGTGCAAATCAGTTGAAATTTTCAGGGATATTAGTCCTCTACTTGAATAAGAATCGCTGAAAATTTCAGCTTTCTATCCTTGATAGAAAAAAAGTTATGACCTGTCAAGATTTTCCAAAATCTAAATCATAAGGTAGGTACCTTCCTACTAAAACAATGAAATTTCAAATTTTTTTGTGTGGAGATTTTGTGTCCTTATGGTCACTTGTGATCCCTCGATCTCCATACACTAAGTTATTCCCAGATTTGAAGCCGAAATCTATGAAAAAATGCACTCAGAAAAATTGAAAAATTGATAAATTACCCCAAATTGCTTAACACGATTTTATCTCAGAAACTATAAGTGCAAATCAGTTGAAATTTTCAGGGATATTAGTCCTCTACTGGAATAAGAATCGCTGAAAATTTCAGCTTTCTATCTATAATAGAAAAAAAGTTATCACCTGTCAAAGTTTTCCAAAATCTAAATCATAAGGTAGGTACCTTCCTACTAAAACAATGAAATTTCAAATTTTTTTGTGTGGAGATTTTGTGTCCTTATGGTCACTTGTGATCCCTCGATCTCCATACACTAAGTTATTCCCAGATTTGAAGCCGAAATCTATGAAAAAAGGCACTCAGAAAAATTGAAAAATTGATAAATTACCCCAAATTGCTTAACATGATTTTATCTCAGAAACTATAAGTGCAAATCAGTTGAAATTTTCAGGGATATTAGTCCTCTACTTGCATAAGAATCGCTGAAAATTTCAGCTTTCTATCTTTGATAGAAAAAAAGTTATGACCTGTCAAAATTTTCCAAAATCTAAATCATAAGGTAGGTGTACCTTCCTACTAAAACAATGAAATTTCAAATTTTTTTGTGTGGAGATTTTGTGTCCTAATGGTCACTTGTGATCCCTCGATTTCCATACACTAAGTTATTCCCAGATTTGAAGCCGAAATCTATGAAAAAATGCACTCAGAAAAATTGAAAAATTGATAAATTACCCCAAATTGCTTAACACGATTTTATCTCAGAAACTATAAGTGCAAATCAGTTGAAATTTTCAGGGATATTAGTCCTTTACTGGAATAAGAATCGCTGAAAATATCAGCTTTCTATCTTTAATAGAGAAAAAGTTATGACCTGTCAAAATTTTCCAAAATTTAAATCATAAGGTAGGTACCTTCCTTCTAAAACAATGAAATTTCAATTTTTTTTGTGTGGAGATTTTGTGTCCTAATGGTCACTTGTGATCCCTCGATCTCCATACACTAAGTTATTCCCACATTTGAAGCCGTAATCTATGAAAAAAGGCACTCAGAAAAATTGAAAAATTGATAAATTACCCCAAATTGCTTAACACGATTTTATCTCAGAAACTATAAGTGCAAATCAGTTGAAATTTTCAGGGATATTAGTCCTCTACTGAAATAAGAATCCCTGAAAATTTCAGCTTTCTATCTTTGATAGAAAAAAAGTTATGACCTGTCAAAATTTTCCAAAATTTAAATCATAAGGTAGGTACCTTCCTTCTAAAACAATGAAATTTCAAATTTTTTTGTGTGGAGATTTTGTGTCCTTATGGTCACTTGTGATCCCTCGATCTCCATACACTAAGTTGTTCCCAGATTTGAAGCCGAAATCTATGAAAAAAGGCACTCAGAAAAATAGAAAAATTGATAAATCACCCCAAATTGCTTAACACGATTTTATCTCAGAAACTATAAGTGCAAATGAGCTGAAATTTTCAGGGATTTTTGCTACGCACATCACATGTCCCAATTCCTCACCATCCATTCATAGAAACCAGCTATTTACCTCCAGATAATCTTTATCTATCTCCTATCGTTCTTGATAGTAACTCGAGCCTGATTCAATGACAATTCTGATAAAAATACATGCTTAATAAATTTCCCAGTGGATCTATCTACAACGTCACGTTATATGTGTTATGAACACCGATATAAATATCCTTGCCTGTCAGACCGGCCCTACCCGTAAAAGGCAAACAGATCAATACTTCTTGTGGTTTTTTTCTAGTTGAATTTATGCAAAAATTAACATAGAAATCGGTTATTTTGTGCTAACAATTTTGGCTGATTACCCTTATTGTTGGCCCGCATGAATAACACAAATTTTTGCTTAATTATCATTGTATACCCCCTTAAATTTGGAGTTAACTATTGCTACACAAAGTTGAAATTTCCTGGTAAAATTTAGGCATTTGAGGCTATTGATTCTAGACCTCTAAAACAAAGGTGTGGGTTGGTTTTTTTTAAGGGACAGATGTTTGTTTTAGACGGCCGAGGGTTGATCAAAAACCAATGACACATAAAAATTATTCGATTTGGTGCGGTAGTCCCAATTATTAACAATATTTGTACTTTGATAAAGGTTATCCTACGAACACAATTATTCGAGATAAGAAAGAATATTATTGGGTCGATAGTTCGTACTTGTACGTGTCATATTGATAAGTGATTTTCAACCAAATCAGGAATCTTAATTTCCAATTCAGGCACGCAACACTGACTTTTAGAACCGTGAAAAATCGCGTTTGGCCTCAGCCGTCAACCAACTTTGTAGTGTATTGCACGATAATCTTATTACCGTTGCATTTCTTGCCTTCTCAGCATTCAAATGTGTTTTATTTGCAAGTTGTTGTAGAATTTATAGAAGGAAAATCATTTGAAACTTATCTACTTTTACCGAGTTCTTCTTCTTTACTGGAAAACTCAATTTAGAATCCCTTTTGGTTTGAAAAATGCTCCATCAACATGTTGTTGCAATAATAATTATTATTAAAAAAGAAGTTCCCATAATGTGATGCTAGATGAATTTAATTCGTTTTCTCTGTACACACACACACAACATTCGAGTTTTCTTTTTTCTTTTTTTCAGAATCCGCGCTCCGGGGTTTCGAAGTGGGGACCGGGCGTCGGCGAGTCGCTGCCAGCACGAATTCAGTCGTTTTCGTATGGTCGAATAGGAATAAACCGAGGCGCGAAGGGATTTTCGAACTCGGTCGGTGTATATTTAGTTGAGTTTTACAAAAGTGAATTTTGTGCCATATACTTTTAAATATTGGAAAAAATATGAAGTTTTCAGTAGGTTTGTGTTTGGTTTTGGTGGTTTTGGATGGTGCTATTAGTGCTGGAATTCCAAAGAAAGGTGAGGAATAACTTTTCTGCAATTCAATTTTTGATTTTACTAACTTTGAATTTGAGTCAAATCATCAAAAATTCCATCAAACCTTTGGAACAATGACTCATTTTTCTCCATATCTTAGACAATCATGAGTAACTGGATCCATGAGGATCCATTCCAGTAATTAATGACTTTCTTTTTGGGAATCCCAGAAGATGTGCGGTCAAAGACAATACAAGTTCTTTGGTGTATTTTCCAAATAATTGATTGATTTATTCCAAAATTATCTTTTGTTGAAAAAGCCAAATACATAAATAAATAAAATTAAGATAAATCCTGTATATGTGAACAAAACAAAAGTGTAACGACCCTTTTGATTGTCTTTTTTACTCACTAAAAATTGTCTCAATGTGAATGAATTCTCAAGTAGGTAAAAGCTTCATCATGAGGCAACTTTGAATTCGTAATTACTTTTAGAACGTGAGAAAGTTGTTAAAGTGAAGTGAGTCTCATAATGACAACGTGCCACATTAAAGATAAAGTGGCTCGATTTTCGTTTTGAAAAAATGTGCCGCATTCGTTATTTTTGTAACTGGGCCAAATGCCATTTTGCAATTAAAACAACTATAATTGGGACATCGATGAATTACCTATAGTTAATTATATGAATGTGTAAGCATTTATTTTTAAATGAAATAATAATTGTTCTTGTTATAATATTTTGTGTAGGTACAGTATACAGGGTGAATCTTGAAAAAAGCTACCTACTAGTGAGGAAAAACTTGACATTTTGAGCATCCTACATGATTTTCTACACAAAGTATCAAATCTTCTTCTAATATGATGTAGAAGAGGGCTTATCGATACGATATATCGATATACAGGACGTCCCAATATTACCAAAAACCCTAAAATGCCAAATTCACTTGGTTTTTTAAATACCTATGGTAACACAGCTTTTTTGTTGAAATGTATATGGAAACTGGTCTCGTATTCCAGAGCAGGCTTTAAAAAAATATACAATATTCCTCAGCTATGTCTACCAGCCCACCTATCATGTAGATCAGATGAAATACTGACCTGAGCTGAGAACAACTCCAATTTCTGATCATTTCTCTATTAAATTTGATTCAGAATAGTTTACCGAGGTCATTTTTGAGCCCGGTAGAGCTGAATTTTGGCATTTATAGAATCTTAAAATTCTGGAATTTGAACTAGAAATTCAACAATTCAACAATAACACACCTGAAACTATTTAAAAAAACTCACTCGCTGAGTTGTTCTCAGGGCAATATTTACATAACAGCAACCCTGTATATACCTAATATAAAGCATCAAAATTTTACAATAATTTACCTTAGAGAAGTTCTCAGTTATTTCTAGTGAGAACACTTTAGAACCAGTTAAGTATCAAAAAAGAACATCAGAGGAGCACTCCCAGATCCATTGAACCTTTTGAACATTTTCAATTATAATTCAGGGATTTCATAAACCTTGTAAATTAGAGATATTTTTGAACATTTTACAATAATTGAGTCGATCCAGGCAATTCAGAACACTTTGGAACCAATTTTAATATTCCAAGAACATTTATCATAATAATATTCAGAACTCTTTAGAACACTTAAGAACCAGTTCAAAGAATATCAAAAATAAATTTGAAAGACTCCTGGGCTGGGATCATGACAAATAGAATTCTACTTTCATGACGTCAGGTTGCTTAGGAACCATCATCATCGCCTTGCGGGTGACGTCATGAAAGTAGAATTCTACTCGTCGTGATCCCAGCCCTAAACCAATTTAGAACACCTCTAGAACACTTTAGGATCTTTAAAACAATTTTAGAGCACTCCCAGATCCAATAAACGTTTACTTTCTGAACTCCTTCAATAATAATTTCATGAACCATGTGATCCACCTGATTTTGAGTCATTTAGAAACGCTCTAGAACCAATTCAGGAATTTCAAGAACATTTTAGAGCACTCCTAGATCCAATAAGCGATTACTTTTTGAACACCTTCAATAATAATTGAAGAGATTTCATCAACCCTGTACAATTGATTAAAGGCTGTTCAGAATATTTTAGAATCAGTTCAATCATGTGATCCAGGCAATCCAGAAACGAATTTTGATATTTTAAGAACATGATTCAGAACGCATTTAGAACTGTTCTAGAACTTTAAGGACCGAAATTGAGAACTTTCACCAACATTTCGAACATTCCGAAACATTCTAGAACACTCCCAGATCCATTGAACGTTTTGAACATTTTCAATAATAATTCAGGGATTTCATGAACCTTGCGAGATGTCCTAGAACATTTTACAATCAGTTCAGACATGTGAGAGTCGGTGTTGATCCAGGCAATTCAGAACACTTTGGAACCAATTTTGATATTCCAAGAACATTTCATAAGAAGATTCAGAACACTTCAGAACCAGTTTAGAGAACATCAAAAATTAATTTGAAACACTCCTGGAATCAATTTAGAACCACTCTAGAACACTCTCAGATCCATTGAACTTTTTGAACATTTTTAATAATAATTCAGGGATTTCATGAACCTTGTAAATTAGAGATGTTTTAGAACATTTTCCAATTGAGTCGATCCAGGCAATTCAGAACACTTTGAACCAATTTTGATATTCCAAGAACATTTCAGAAGAAGATTCAGAACACTTCAGAAGCAGTTTAGAGAACATCAAAAATAAATTTGAAACACTCCTGAACCAATTTAGGACCACTCTAGAACATTTTAGAATTTTTAAAACCATTTTAGAATGATTTAGAACGCTTCTAAACAAATTTTTTGTCTTTTAACCAACTCGTTCTAGAACTCTAATAACTAAATGAAAATTCTCACAAGCATTTTAGGAAGTTCCGGAAATGATTGAGGTATATTGAATCTTCAGAATTCTTCGGAAGAGATCGATTAAGACATTTAGAAACGCTCCAGAACCAAATTAGGACTTTCAAGAACATTTTAGAGCACTCTCAGATCCAATAAACGTTTACTTTTTGAACACCTTCAATAATAATTCAAGAAATTTCATGAACCCTGAAGAACTGATTGAAGGCTGTTCAGAACATTTTAGAATCAGTTCAATCATGTGATCCAGACCATCCAAAACGAATTTTGATGTTCCAAGAACATGTTCAAAACCATTCAGAACATTTTGGAAATAGCAGAACCTTCTACAAAACCTTTAAATAAGTACTGTTCTAGAACTTCAAGGACCAAATAAAAACTCTCATCAGCGTTGTAGACCGTTCCAGAACATTCCAGATCCATTAAACGTTTTGCATATTTTTAATAATAATTCAGGCATATCATGAACCTTGTAAATTAGAGATGTTTTAGAACATTTTACAATCAGTTCAAACATGTGAGAGTCGATGTCGATCCAGGCAACTCAGAACACTTTCAAACCAATTTTGATATTCCAAGAACGTTTCATAACAAGTTTCAGAACACTTCAGAACCAGTTTAGAGAACATGAAAAAATAAATTTAAAACACTCCTGGAACCAATTTAGAACCACTCTAGAACACTCTCAAATCCATTGAACGTTTTGAACATTTTTAATAATAATTCAGGGATTTCATGAACCTTGTAAATTAGAGATGTTTTAGAACATTTTCCAATTGAGTCGATCCAGGCAATTCAGAACACTTTGGAACCAATTTTCATATTCCAAGAACATTTCATAACAATATTAAGAACTCTTTAGAATCGGTTCAGAGAACATTAAAAATAAATTTAAAACACTCCTGAACCAATTTAGAACCACTCTAGAACATTTTAGAATCTTTAAAACCCTTTTACAACCTTTCAGAATGATTTAGGACGCTCTTAAACAAAAATTCTTCTTTATTAACGAACTCGTTCTAGAACTCAAAAAACTGATTCGGGTACATTGAAACTTCAGAATTATTCGGAAGAGATCGATTAACTCATTTAGAAACGCTCTAGAAACAATTCAGGAATTTCAAGAACAATTTAGAACACTCCCAGATCCAAAAAATGTTTAGTTTTTGAACACCTTCAATAATAATTAAAGAGATTTCTTGAACCCTGTAGAACTGAGGCGTTTTCTCGCGGGGCGAATGGTTCGAACTACGGTTTAAACCAATTTGTAGATGACGTCATCACTTGTGAACGCGAGAAAATGGAAGGTTTGAACCACAGTCTTATGTCAGCGGAGAACAAGCCATGAGTCCGGTTCGAAATTTTTTGAACCAGGTTCAATGTGACGTCACTGGTTCAACGCAAGAATGTACAGGTTCGAACCTAATTGAACCGGGTCGAACCAGTTCCACCGCGAGAAAACAGCTCTGATTAAAGGCTGTTCAGAACAGTTTAGAATTGCTTCAATCATGTGATCCAGACAATCCAGAACACTCCACAACGAATTTTGATATTTTAAAAACATGATTTAGAACGCTTTAAAATTAATCTAATAAAACAATGCTAATGTTTGCATGTATCTCAAATATCCTTTAAACCGATCATGAATACTTCAAAATGGATTATTACATTAGAAACAACTAAGAACACTTTAGAGCAAGTTAAGTGCCAAAAAATTACATCAGAGCAGATTTCAACAATTTAGAACACTCTGGATCATGTTAAGAACATTTTAGATTGATTCGAAAAACATTCCAAAACAATTTTCATTTAGTTCAGGAGCATTTTAAAATGCGTCAGAATCAAATAGGAGTGTGTAAGAATACTCTATAGAATCCAAAAGCATTTGTAGGATAAATGCCATTCCAGAACGATTTAGAACGTCTGGAAATTTCAGAACCCTTTAGAAAACTTTTAAATAAATACTGTTCTAGAACTTCAAGGACCAATTGAAAACTCTCACCAGCATTTTAGAACGTTCCAGAACATTCTAGAGTACTTCCAGATCTATTGAACGTTTTAAACATTTTTACAATTAGTACAAACATGTGAGAGTCAGTGTCGATCCAGGCAATTCAGAACACTTTGGAACCAATTTTAATATTCCAAGAACGT